ATCTGGTTCAGGCCTTACTTCATCCTGGTCCGCATAATGCGCCACTCTATCAGCTAGCAATTCATCGAGGACAAGTCTTTTAACGGCTGGCTTTTCTGGAGGAATTAATAGTGGTGCCAAATTAAACAGCCGCCAAAAGTCGATGCCGAAATACGCGTTCTGTTCGAGTGATGGGCATACGTAAAACTCCACTTCTTTGGCCTCCTCTCGATACACCACTGGTAAACGCACTCGCCCAATTACGGCTCTGTCTTCACCGCCTGCTGTTTTAATTATCGAAATGTAATTTCTGGGCACCATGCCAATCTCTTTCAGCAGTTCCAGACTGCCCTTGCCTAGCACGCTTACCGAGGCCCCGGTATCCAGCAAACCGCGTAGCACATGCCCTCGTACCAGTACTTCGGCAAAAATCCTCGGATCTGCTGCTCCTTCGCGTCGCACTGCCTCGGCTACCAGCTTCTTCGTCTGCCTTCTCACTCGGAATCGTGCTCGGGCCTTTTTAACTTTGGCTGTCACCATCCTCATCCCATCTAACTGATGTTGGGCAAAAATTCTATTGCGCGCCTCCAGATATGCCGCATCTTTTCCTCGTACGGTAAAAATTTCAACTTATTACTATATGGGGTATTCTTCTTATGAAATTCTTCTTTCAGGACCGCTCCGCTGTCATCCTGGTGGGCACCTGTGTCGAGCGCGATTCGCCCACTTGCTCCGCACTCCGACGGCCGTTTCCCGTGCAATCGGGACATGTTGGACTATAGGTGTCGGGCCTGCCACACCTATAACAGAAGACGCGCCTTTCCGGTGACATGCAGTCGCGGAAACTATGGCCGGCTTGTCTGCAGTTCCAGCAAATTAACGCCTGTTGCGGACGCCTTGCCAAACGCGCCTCTTCAACTACGCCGAAATCCGCCGACTCCTCGCCGTTAGTGTCGTCGACCAACTCCTCCACTGCCGGTGGACGGTTTCCGCCACTAAAACGTGTGCCGCTGCGTGTTGGGAACACGCCTTCTCGCCGCTGGACCATAGCTTCCACCTCTACGCATTCGTCACGTAAGTGGTCTACCGTGTACACGCGCATCGCATACACATAACGAGCTAATTCTATTTTTAATCCTTTTTTTATATATTTCATCATCTCGTTTTCAGATGGTGCTGTGTGGAGACGCGACGCCAGTTTCCTCATGGCATGGAAGTACTCCTCAACGCTTTCGCTTGCCTTCTGCCGTCTTTCGCGCAATTGACGCATGCGCTCGAATTCATCGGCGGCGCCTTTAAAACGGGACAGCATGCTTCGTTTTAGTTCTGGCCAGCTGTCTGCCCGGTGGTCCCTGACGTACTGCCAGTACCACTCGCGAGCGTGCCCAGTTACTAACAGATGGAAACTGTTTAATACTTCGGACCATGCGCAGCGACACTGCCTCTGAAGGAACTCTATTTGGAAAACGAAGTCCTCAACAGTCATTTTTTCCTTATCGCCGCTGAAAACGATGTCCCACTTTTCAACGCGGCACCATCCGGATCTGCCATTCGCCGCTACATACGGAGGAGGCGGGTCCAGCTGACCACTCCCATCGTAACGCCTGTTGCCTCTTCGACGGGCCGACTGTGCTGCGGGATTTTGCCAATTTCGAGCTGTGCTGCTGCTATTGCCAGCTCCACTGGAGGAATTATCTGCCGCTGGCCTTGCTACTGGACGCGAAGTTCCTCTTGCTGGTGTTAGAGGTTCAGCCTGGTATTGATGCGGCCGTTTTGGCACCGCACCCCGATTCTGGCTGACTGGCGGTTGCCATGCTCCATTTGCAGCTGAATCGCCGCTATTCGCTCGCGGTTGCAAAACTTCTTTCAACGCGCCCATCAAGTCTTGAAACCCCATTCGGATTTCCTCCTGCAACACTTTGTTGATGCCCTCTTTTTGCGATTGGCGGTATGTTTCGTTCGCCTGGGCCACTGCTGCTTCTACCACCGACGCGACTACTGGCTCGGCGTCCCAGTGTACTGCTGGTGCTATGGACGGCCTCGGAGGAGTGTGCATGAGGCCACCGGTGGAAAAACCTACGGCTCCTTCTAGGTGTTCCTCCAGATCATCATTTCTGGCAGTTCTCGACCTTGTGTTATACGCACGCGCAGAATCCTTTTCCATCTCAATCCAAAAAAAAATACGCTCTGTTTTTTTATAATATTTATTTATATTTTGGATTATGAATTTGTTCAGCTTTCAAGCAGGCCCCGAAGAAAAAATCGTATTAATTGGATAATTGTATATATGTATTCCAAACAATGAAAATGTTTGCAAACGCCCAAAACAACAAAAACAAATGGGCAAGAAAATATATGTACGCTGAATATGTATGATGGATAAATAAATAAATAAATAGGTACAACAATAAATAGATAAATATGTGAATTGGAATAAATAAATATGAATATAGTAGTAAAAATAAAAAAAACAAATCTTTAAATAAATTCACGTCCAACTTTGCACGGAAACAAAAAAAAAAATATATACGCTCAACCACAAGCCAAATGTAACATATGTATATGCACCAACGTAACCAAAAAGACTTAATAAAATGTAAGCAATAAACAAACAAATTTTCTTTTAAACTTCTGTATATAGGGGCTGAGACTCACACTCAGCCGGAACCCAAACACGGCTCCTATAATATCTACGCCTGTACAGCTGCCCTACGCCACAATCCTGCAATATTTGATCGCTGCTACATTTATCGCCTTGACGGCGATGAACGACAGCCAACAAATTAAATGGTTGCTTCTTGACACCCAATTCTGTTTTGTGCACCATCTGCTCTGGCTCACCGTGCGTAGCGGTGCATCGCAGGCGACTTTCCTTGTCATCCTGGGCCACCGGTACTCTACGTCCACCAGGCAAACACGATGACACCACGGCGACCGTGCACAAACGAATTGACGCAAGAATTACAACAAAGAACACTGAAACGAAATAACAAAACAAACGCGCATTGGAATCCCCCCATAGTACCCATTGCCTAGCGTCGTTCCAAATGGCAGTCGCAAACGAAGGGCTCATACTCGCACCTTCGTGACTTACTGTCCATGTCACACACGCTTGCAGTTGGTGCTATAAGGGATTCCGTCCCTACCATACCGATCGTCGGCCCCTAGCCATCGGCTTAATTTATTTTTTTCCTATCTAAATTCTCAGCCTGCGTACGGCGGCTGCCTAGACTCCTCCCCAAAAGTGGTACAGGGCCCTAAACAACTCCACCTACTCCTTGGCATTAAAAATTCAAACATCCAAATTGGGCGCCATATTGTTACGACTACGCTTTTCCTCTTGGGCAACGCCGGCTGGCTCAGCGGAATTCTCCTTGGGTGTGTGGTTCCAACCCTATGCCCGCGTGAGTCGTACAATAACCGATAACACGGTTCCTCCATCGATAAACAAAATGCCATCACTACAATAAATTCGACGCGCAATATACAAAACCGAATTCAAAACGTAAACAAACCAAAAAAAACTAACATAAACTAAAAGAAACGTAATGCAACAAAAAAACAAATAAACGGCTAACTCCCTCAAGCTATCCGTACGAATACGGATGACTGTAAAAGGAGATTATATACGTGCGGACGGACAGAAATTGTGACATCGGACAACTCAAATGCTGCAATAGCTTCGCCACCGAGTGAGAACCGACCTCCCGATCGCTTTTTCAAAGCCTCAGTGAGCGGAGCCGCTAAGGTGGCAAAATCTTTAATAAATCGCCTGTACCACCCGGCGGTTCCTAAGAAAGCTCGAACCTCCTTTACGGACCTTGGCACCTGTATGCGCTGTATCGCCTGCACCTGTTCTGGATCTGTTCGAAGCACGCCGCCGCCCACGATAAATCCCAGGTATTTCAACGTTTTAAAGCAAAACTTCGACTTTTGTAACCCTATCGTCAGGTTTGCCTTCTTGAGGCATTCAGCTACTCTCTTCAGGTACTCCAAGTGCGTATCAAAATCAGCCGCGAAGACTACCAAATCGTCCAGATATACTTTAACGTTGGACCTCAGTTCATTCGGTATGACCTTGTCCATCAGCCGGCACAACCTTTGAGCGGCGTTACACAACCCGAAAGGCATCATGCGGAATTGGTACAACGGTCGCCCTGGTACCGTAAACGCAGTGCACCTTCTACTGGACTCCTCCAACTCCACCTGCCAAAACGCAAATTTCAGGTCCACACTGGAAATATAATATGTCTGATCGATTCCAGATAGGATTCCCTCCACGCATGGTAGCGGATAGGCATCTTTGACTGTCAGTTTGTTCAACTTGCGGGCATCGAGGCAAAAGCGGTTCTTGCCCGGCCGTCGCACTATGGTGGTGCGGTTACTCCACGGACTATCGCTTACCTCGATGACGCCAAGCGCCAGCATGCTGTCCACCTCATCCCACACAATCTTCTGCATAGCGGGTGATAGAGGGTAGTGCCTGTCTTTCACTGGCTCTGCTCCGCTGACCAATTCAATTCGGTGAGTCTCCAAAGTAGTCTTGCCTAATCCCGCTTCTTCGAAGGTTAAAAATTCTTTTTTTACTTGTTCCAATTGCAGCTTTTGTTGTTCATTCAATTTCCACATATCTGGTTCAGGCCTTACTTCATCCTGGTCCGCGTAATGCGCCACTCTATCAGCTAGCAATTCATCGAGGACAAGTCTTTTAACGGCTGGCTTTTCTGGAGGAATTAATAGTGGTGCCAAATTAAACAGCAGCCAAAAGTCGATGCCGAAATACGCGTTCTGTTCGAGTGATGGGCATACGTAAAACTCCACTTCTTTGGCCTCCTCTCGATACACCACTGGTAAACGCACTCGCCCAATTACGGCTCTGTCTTCACCGCCTGCTGTTTTAATTATCGAAATGTAATTTCTGGGCACCATGCCAATCTCTTTTAGCAGTTCCAGACTGCCCTTGCCTAGCACGCTTACCGAGGCCCCGGTATCCAGCAAACCGCGTAGCACATGGCCTCGTACTAGTACTTCGGCAAAAATCCTCGGATCTGCTGCTCCTTCGCGTCGCACTGCCTCGGCTACCAGCTTCTTCGTCTGCCTTCTCACTCGGAATCGTGCTCGGGCCTTTTTAACTTTGGCTGTCACCATCCTCATCCCATCTAACTGATGTTGGGCAAAAATTCTATTGCGCGCCTCCAGATATGCCGCATCTTTTCCTCGTACGGTAAAAATTTCAACTTATTACTATATGGGGTATTTTTCTTATGAAATTCTTCTTTCAGGACCGCTCCGCTGTCATCCTGGTGGGCACCTGTGTCGAGCGCGATTCGCCCACTTGCTCCGCACTCCGACGGCCGTTTCCCGTGCAATCGGGACATGTTGGACTATAGGTGTCGGGCCTGCCACACCTATAACAGAAGACGCGCCTTTCCGGTGACATGCAGTCGCGGAAACTATGGCCGGCTTGTCTGCAGTTCCAGCAAACTAACGCCTGTTGCGGACGCCTTGCCAAACGCGCCTCTTCAACTACGCCGAAATCCGCCGACTCCTCGCCGTTAGTGTCGTCGACCAACTCCTCCACTGCCGGTGGACGGTTTCCGCCACTAAAACGTGTGCCGCTGCGTGTTGGGAACACGCCTTCTCGCCGCTGGACCATAGCTTCCACCTCTACGCATTCGTCACGTAAGTGGTCTACCGTGTACACGCGCATCGCATACACATAACGAGCTAATTCTATTTTTAATCCTTTTTTTTATATATTTCATCATCTCGTTTTCAGATGGTGCTGTGTGGAGACGCGACGCCAGTTTCCTCATGGCATGGAAGTACTCCTCAACGCTTTCGCTTGCCTTCTGCCGTCTTTCGCGCAATTGACGCATGCGCTCGAATTCATCGGCGGCGCCTTTAAAACGGGACAGCATGCTTCGTTTTAGTTCTGGCCAGCTGTCTGCCCGGTGGTCCCTGACGTACTGCCAGTACCACTCGCGAGCGTGCCCAGTTACTAACAGATGGAAACTGTTTAATACTTCGGACCATGCGCAGCGACACTGCCTCTGAAGGAACTCTATTTGGAAAACGAAGTCCTCAACAGTCATTTTTTCCTTATCGCCGCTGAAAACGATGTCCCACTTTTCAACGCGGCACCATCCGGATCTGCCATTCGCCGCTACATACGGAGGAGGCGGGTCCAGCTGACCACTCCCATCGTAACGCCTGTTGCCTCTTCGACGGGCCGACTGTGCTGCGGGATTTTGCCAATTTCGAGCTGTGCTGCTGCTATTGCCAGCTCCACTGGAGGAATTATCTGCCGCTGGCCTTGCTACTGGACGCGAAGTTCCTCTTGCTGGTGTTAGAGGTTCAGCCTGGTATTGATGCGGCCGTTTTGGCACCGCACCCCGATTCTGGCTGACTGGCGGTTGCCATGCTCCATTTGCAGCTGAATCGCCGCTATTCGCTCGCGGTTGCAAAACTTCTTTCAACGCGCCCATCAAGTCTTGAAACCCCATTCGGATTTCCTCCTGCAACACTTTGTTGATGCCCTCTTTTTGCGATTGGCGGTATGTTTCGTTCGCCTGGGCCACTGCTGCTTCTACCACCGACGCGACTACTGGCTCGGCGTCCCAGTGTACTGCTGGTGCTATGGACGGCCTCGGAGGAGTGTGCATGAGGCCACCGGTGGAAAAACCTACGGCTCCTTCTAGGTGTTCCTCCAGATCATCATTTCTGGCAGTTCTCGACCTTGTGTTATACGCACGCGCAGAATCCTTTTCCATCTCAATCCAAAAAAAAATACGCTCTGTTTTTTTATAATATTTATTTATATTTTGGATTATGAATTTGTTCAGCTTTCAAGCAGGCCCCGAAGAAAAAATCGTATTAATTGGATAATTGTATATATGTATTCCAAACTGTTAAAATTCACACTGAGGATCGCACAAATAAAAGACTGTTCGGCGCAGCGGCAGCGAAGTCATCAAAATAGATTTAACATTTGATAACTTGTAACGTAAATTCATAACATAACATCATGTAATTCGGCTGCTTATGCGGCGCTCTCTTGTTCTAATTAACATTATAATGTGGCAACGCTCTCGCTCTCATTTGCAGCGGCTGATCTGCAAAGGCAGCTGCAGTGGTAGGGCGTGCGTTCGTCAAAGTCTAGTATAAAATTGCAGCCCGCCCGCGCAGTTTAGTCTCTTCGTGCACGATTAATTCGATCTCGCCCTTTGTTGTTGTTTTTGGCGAAGCAAGACAATTGGTCTAAGCCACAGCCAGTGCATATTTACAATAAACTTTATAACGTCGTTGTCGAAAATCAACTTGTTTTATTTGTTGGAAAGCAAGCTTGATTATAGTTGTCCATACAGCTACCAAAAAATATTGGTCGCTCAACATTTGGAGGCCCCGGCGAGATTGAATGTCGTGGTTTCTTTTGTCACGAGTTAAAAACAATTAATAAGCGAACATTAGTGCTATTCGTAAGCAAGTGCATTGTTAAAAGTGCTAAATTTGAACATTATATACATATGCACATGCATAGTGGACGCTGTAAGAACCGTTGCTTGCAGTTCGTCAAATTCGTCGCGCTAGCATACATACATACGTATATGCTAACGGCCGCGCAAAAAACAATTGCTTTTGGTTTACCGTTCGTTGTCATCAGTGCCCACGCAAAGACATTGCGGTTTTATCGGACGATTGCGTGTTGTTGTAAAACCGCTTGCCTTGTGTCAAAATGGTAGATGAAGTGCAAGTTGGCGCGCCAGGGCCCAACAGGGTGCCTTTTTTGAAGCGCAAAGTTTCTGTAATGCTTGAGGAGATGAGAAATCTTAATCAGGCCTACACTGATGAGCGATTTAATCGTTGCACCATCCACGACCTAGAAGTGCTTCAACATCGAATAGAGAAGTTCGAGATAGAGTTCAAGGGCTTGCACAGCTCATTGGAAGAGCTGGATCATGGTGAGATTGGAAGTCCGTCGCGAACTGATTTTAATTTGTTGGTAGACGCATTAGATGTCCGCGTGCGTGAGAACAAACAACGCCGCCAATCTCATTTGCCTGCCCATTCTACGGTTGGCCGTCTAGAGGAATCAGTAAGCCAAACCGTGATCATGGCAAGTAGGCCACGTCTGCCAGAAATAAAATTGCCTACTTTTTCTGGTGGATATACGGAGTATGCGGACTTCATTGCAATGTTCAATTCAGTCATTGACAACGATGTCGACTTGACTGATATCGAAAAACTTCAGCATTTACGATCTTGCCTGCTAGGTCCAGCTTTAGAAGCAGTGAGATCGCTTGAATTCTCTAGTGTCAATTATCGTGTGGCACTGGATATCCTATTTAAACGTTTTAGTAACAAACGTCTTGTTTTCCAGGCACACATAAAGGAGATTCTTGGGCTCAAGAGGGTAGATTCGTCGTCCGCTGCAAAACTTCGTGAGTTTTCGGACAAGGTGAACTCGCACATTCGCGCCTTGCAAACGCTGGGCAATTTGGAGGAAATTTCAGGCTGCATGATTGTGTGTATTCTGCTTCAAAAGCTTGACGCTGCAACTCAGGCCAGTTGGGAAGAGGCAACGTCAGCGGACCAGATACCGTCTGCCTCGGAGTTTTATGACTACTTGGAAAAGCGATGCCGAAGATTGGAAAACGTGCAGCACGCTATGGCAACCAATACGCCGAGCATTCAGGTGGGAAAATCCAACCAAAGTACTAACAACTGTAGAAAGACTTTCGTTGCTGCCCGAACTAATCAAGATAACTGTCTGTTTTGCGAAGCGATTGGGCATGGAATTTACTCATGCAGTAGATTTGGAAATTTGTCCCCTTCTCTGCGCCACAAGGAAGTAAAAAAGCTCGCTCTTTGCTATAACTGCCTAAAAAAGGGGCATCAAACTCGGTCTTGTAGCAGTGGCCACTGTCGCGTTTGTGGTGGAAAGCATCACACCTTGCTGCACTTTGGCAGCTCGATGTCCACTTTGCAAAATGTTTCGGCAGCGCCTCAGGTCGCTGCATCGTTTTCGCCGGCTCATGTTGACAGTCCTACAATTCAGCCTCAAACGTCTACCTCTCTTGCTGCCCAGGTTCTCCAATCTAATGTTGTGCTCCTGGCTACAGCCATCGAGCTTTATTGGATTCAGGTTCTCAATTGCATCTCGTCACTTCTCGCTTTGCGCAGCAATTGGGACTAAAGAAAACAAGATCTTCAGCTACCGTCTCAGGCCTTGGTGACACAAGCGTGTCAACTGATGGAAACGCTGTCCATATCTGCCTGAAATCTCGAACCTCGGAATACGTCACCAGGTTCTCAGCTCTCGTGGCGCCTACGATCACTGATAGTCAGCCTAGTTTCGCTATTGATACAGCAAATTGGAACATTCCGTCGAACATTGAATTAGCTGATCCTGCATTCAACAGACCACAGCGTGTAGATCTTCTTATTGGTGCGAGCCTCTTTTATGAGCTTCTTTGTGTCGGCCAAATCAAGTTGGTCACAGGATTGCCGCTCCTACAAAAAACTCGCCTTGGCTGGATCGTGTCAGGCGGTGGCGAACGGTTAATCAACACTTCGCTATTGGCAGCTCGCTGCGTTGAAAAAGAAGATGATGTTCATGTTGATGTACGACTGGATGAACTAGTTCGCCGATTTTGGGAAATTGAATGCTGTGAAGAAGCCGTTGTTAAGGCCAGCAAGGAAGAAATAGAATGCGAGGAGCACTTTGTTAGCAACTATTCTCGCTTAGCTTCCGGTGAATATTCCGTTCGATTGCCTTTAAAGCACAATGCTGATCAGCTGGGAGAATCTTATAACCGTGCCTATCGTCGATTTCTCAGCCTCGAGCGCAAGCTTATGCGACATCCGCATCTTAAAGAGCAATATTCTGCATTCATCAACGAATATGCTGATTTGAAGCATATGTCTCGGGTCGGTCTTGAATCCGTTGGCTTGTGCAAGTACTTTCTCCCGCATCACTGCGTCGTTAAGGAGGACAGCACAACAACAAAACTTCGTGTCGTTTTCGATGGCTCGGCCGAAACGTCTACTGGATATTCCCTAAATGATGTGATGATGGCAGGACCAACTATACAGCCGAAGCTATTTCATATTTTGCTTAGATTTCGTTCGTATTTGGTGGCTCTCACAGGAGACATTTGCAAAATGTATCGCTGTGTTCGAGTAGACATTCCTGATAGCTTTCTTCAATGTATATTGTGGAGAGATTCCCCTCAGAAGGAGGTGGAAATTTACAAATTGGATACCGTCACATATGGCACGAAGGCGGCATCTTTCTTATCCGTTCGTGCGATGCACCAGCTGGCTCTCGATGAACAGGACTCATTCCCTGTCGGCTCAGCTGCTCTGCGAAGAGACTTCTATGTGGATGATTTTATTTCTGGAGGCAACTCAGTGGCTGAAGCTAGATATAAAATGCATCAGACTGCCGGTATTCTGCTTCTTGGCAACTTTAAGTTACGAAAATGGTGCTCTAGTCATCCAGAGGTCCTCGAGGGAGTAGATGAAGAAGATAAGGAGAAATATCTCACATTTGATGACGGCAGCAACATAACCAAGGCTCTTGGCCTTGCTTGGGATCCTGCATCCGACCAGCTGTTGTTTTCTTTAGCGCCTTCAGAAGCAATTCTAAAGCCTTGCAGACGCTCAGTGTTGTCTACAATAGCCCGTTTCTACGACCCGCTTGGGCTTCTTGGGCCATTCATTACTAAATGCAAGATATTTCTTCAACAGCTCTGCAAGGACCAACTGACGTGGGATGAGAGCTTGCCTTTTGAACGCAACACAACTTGGATTGAGCTAAGCAGCTGCTTTCAAAACGTTCGTCGACTGTCGTTTCCCAGATTTGCTCTCAAGGCTGACGCTGAAGTGGAGATACATGGCTTTTGCGATGCTAGCTTTGAGGCTTATGGCGCCTGCGTGTACGCTGTGTCCAGAGGGCAAGCTGCTGCAAGTAATCTTCTATGCTCAAAGTCCCGAGTTGCGCCGTTAAAGACGTTGTCGGTGCCAAAGCTCGAG